ACATATGACAGCGTTTATGGCCAGTGCTGTCGTTATTATGAAAGCCTTGTTTAATGTGAAATAAGTAATAATTTGAATGTAATTATCATTCAAACATTTTATACAATATTAAGTTAAATGTAATGTTCATTACTAATTGGATTGCAAACATCAAAATTTGATATTTTAAATCCGATTCTAATGCAATGAATAGATTATTATAAACACTACTGCCCTCTCATATTTTGGATTAATAATACTAACTTTTTAACATTATTTACTATCTTGTTACAGTAGATAGTTTACTGTAATTTATCATTTGCTATAATATTGAGAATGAATTTATATAAAATTAGAACATTTTGTAAAATATTGAAAAGCTGTAAATATTTTCTACATATTGTTTTGTAGACCTTTTCCCTATAAATCATACACTATAAACACAATGTTACATTTTTAAGATTTAAATATAATTATTTTAAAATTTTCTAATTTATCAGTTAATAGAAAGTTAAATTACTTACTTTAAGCATATTTGAGCGCAATGAATTTAAATAAATAAATATTAAAACAAATCAAAACTTAACACATAGATACAAAAACTTAAATTATTTGTTATAGTATTTGAGTGCTTTGTGAGTTTATATTGTTTTATAAACTCTCAATAACACTATACTTATTATTTTCAGGTGTTTCTCAAAACTAACAAAATATCTTATTTCTCCAATCCTTTTATATGCTTTTATGAAATAGTAGACCCAAAATGTAGTCTCATTTTTATTTGGTAAACCACAAAAAAATTAAACACTTTTTCATATTTACGAGTATTTTCATGGGATAATTGTGTGCATTATACTCTATGAATGATTGTATGTCATGAATGTTTGTTTGAAGTTAATTTAATGTTATTATTATTGCAATCCTGTTACACATTGAAAAAAGTTTAAATCTGTCGAGAGAGAGAGAGAGAGAGAGAGANAAAGTTTAAATCTGTCGAGAGAGAGAGAGAGAGAGAGAGAGAGAGAGAGAGAGAGAGAGAGTACAGTACAGTATTGATATAGAAACCAGATTTGAAGGAAGAGTTTTATTTTCTAAATAATTTTCATCATTTATATGTAAATTTATAAGTCAAATATTAAGAATATAACAATATTTTAAAGTACCTATAAGATTAGCTCTCATACTAATTGTCTTTATTCTGTCAATAATATAAATAAAATACAGCAAATATAAAAATTTATAAAGCATATTTTAGTGAACACTTTAATAGTTTATTATATTTTTATCTATAACTATTGAACTTTTAAATTTAAACTAATTTATTAGTTATTTATGCATATGATTTATATGTAACCCATAATCTGGGTATAATCGCAATAAATATGCGCTTATTAAACAATATTTTAAATGTAAACTAAACTTTTCCTTATTTCGGTGAAAACAATTCAAAGCAAATTGTTTGTAAATAATAAGTATTTATTGTATTTAATTTTTTGTGTAATAAATAAATTACAGCTTATTTTACGCCTCATTGCAAACCATACAATATATTCATTCAATTAAGTGCTCATAATAGCGATGAATCAATAGGCAATACCACAGTCCATGAATATTGATACCGGTGCTCGATATGATAGACGTAATTATATTTATAGGAAATAATTATCTTTGTAAGTTATGTTCATCTATTATATATGATTTAAAGCTATTATTTAATTATACTGCGATTTAAGTAATTAATTTGCAATTGATTTAAGGCCCGTATTTTAAATTGTAATACAGTACTTATAATGAAATATAAATATAGTAAAATGTAAAAATTTAAACAAATGTTATTGGTAATACACTTTTTAAAAATAATATAACTATTAATATAATTACGAATAAATTTTTATTTATTTATTAAAAACGTCTGAGCAATGTAATCTGTAAATTTACAAAAAGTACAATCAAATAATTGGTTTACAGACATAATAAATATTTGTACAAAGATCTAATATCTAAAAGAGTTTGTATTTGGAAAAATGTTACAAATGTATAATACAGTATATTAAATTAATTTATTAAAAATCTATAATATTTAAATGCCACAATTTACTGGTAATTTATTTATTAAAATTTATTTGTCTTAAATATTATTTATTATTATTTAACTATTATTAACAATTACCAATATAGAATTAAATAATACCTCTATTTTTCTATGAAACACACTGTAATATCATATTTTTGACAAGCAAGCTATCCTTGTGTATTTAGTTAAATTTAACATTAATTAATTGTAAATTTTATATTTGTGTATCTAACTGTTAAATAAATGTTATAAAGTTTCAGGGTCCATATTTATATATTTCTAAATATACTGCCACTTATTTGAGCAAACTATTAAAGTAAAACTGATATAAACCGGAAATTATGAATTAATGTCTATTTTAATATATTTCAATATAAGGAAAGTTTGTACTATTTAAATTATCAATTACAATGATTTCTTTATATTTTTACACTTTTTTAAATAACAATGAATTTCCGATCATATTTTAGTCAAATGATTTTTATATTTTCCTCATATATCAACAATATTTTTACTATTATACTAATATATTGCATATAATTTATATGATATAAAAATTATACAAATGTTGCAATATTTAATGTGCCAATAATACAATTTATTGTGTATTTCATTTACAACATTATAACAAGTGAATACTGTAAATCTTATTGATCACTCATCACATGTGGACGTAAATTATAATTTTAAAAAATTATACAGAAACTCAGATTTGTAGCTAATATTGGTGTACAAGTGTTAAAGGTACCCGAGCACTGGCCTCTCTTTAAATGTTTATTCACTCTAGTTTTGATGACATTGAAGTGATCTTGAGCTTTATGTACTGGACTCGCATTTGTATTTTAGACACACATTTAGTGATTGCCTTTAATAGATAGCTCAAGTGATAATGTCTGCAGACATTTACATCGCATTCAAAGTGTCTCACATAAGGCCTCCACTTTCAACGAGTTTCACAAATATTTTGCTACAAAAGTTTTTTTTAAGTTTAAGCGTTAAATAAACTCTTAAACTAAAAGTAAAATGTTAGTTTTATATAATCTAGGTTATAATACTGTATATAGTATATACTGTAGGTTAAAAATATTAGCTAGCTTTATTAGTGACATTGGATTTATTGTTTATAATTGTAAAATATAATTGTGTGATCAATGAACTTTCCAAGTGATATTTATTTTTAAAAATATAAATAATCTCACATATAAAAAATGAAATTATCATTTCTTATCAAATTTATAGACAGTATTTGAGATTATGTTATAACACTTTATTAACTACTAGATTGATGGATATTCATTCATTAATAAACTAACTGTAAGTGAAAATTTAAACATTGTACTAGTATTCAGTATATTTATTTCAAAATATTATTTCATTTTAATTATTTTATATACTGTACTTTACAGTATTAAATATATCAATATATAACTAGATTTTCCATTTAATTATTATAGAATACTGTGTTTTTAAATAAAATAATTAATATAATTACTAATATTTCATAATTTATTCTAGTAAGTTTAACATTTTAAAAATAAGTGTAATACATTATTTATGATAGCAGTATATTGCTAACCTAAACAAATTCACAAAATTTAATTTAGTGTATATTTAACACACATAAACAGAGTTAAATAATTCATCAAGGCTGACTTTAAATTTAGAATTTTAATTTTTGATAAAAGGGTATATTGGAATTTACTGAATTTGTTAAAGTTATAATAGTGAACATTAAGAAATTCTTACTTATCTTAAAATATTATCGACATATAGATTAAGAATTATATAAATTTGATGGTATGTCTTACAGAATATTATATTATACAGTACTGTATAGATTAAAAAATTAACATGTTCACAAGGACTAATGATATAAATATAATCATTGAATTCTTTAACTAAGTTTCTACAGTTGGTATCATTAAATTTGTTATAAAAAATATATAATTTAAAACAAACTAGTATGATATTAAAATATCCGTATATCAAATTAAAAATAATATATGATCATAGTTGTGAAGACTTGATTACTGAATCAATATTGTATATGTCTTATATATTGTGGACCTACAGTCAGAAATTATTTATTCATATATACAGTATATATATATATATTATATTTATATTACAATTATTTATTTTTAGGAAATAATGGATGAAAAAGAAATAGCGATCGCGTGGAAAGACCTAACAGTGAGTGCGAAGACATGGACGGGAAGGGAGGGGAACGTGATATTAAGGGGTATTTCGGGAGGGTTTAGGTCGGGATCACTGAATGCATTGATGGGAGCGTCGGGTTCGGGAAAGTCTACTCTTTTGAAGTGTTTGAATGCAAGCAATAAATACCGTTTGAGTGATGAGTCGCTAATATATGTGCGAAACGGGTGTCAAATGAGTGGCAAATGCTTTATATATCAAAACCAAAGCCAACGTGTGATGACTGGCCTAACAGTGGGTCAGGCGCTGACCTATTCGTCGAAATTGAAAAACAGTGGCGAAAGTGGTCTCAGAGTCAGCCATAGGAAGAATGTCTTGGATTTGATGCAAGAGTTGCT